GTGAAAAAAGAATTCTATTCTGCTGAGTGGTGTTGATCATGGAGGAGGCTGAACACACGTGGGGGCAGAGATTATATGGGAAATCTCCGTATCTTCTCAATGTACTTTTTTTAAGTTTATTTATTTTTGAGAGAGAGAGCACGTGCACAAACTCAGGGAGGGACAGTGAGAGAGGGAGAGAAAGAGAGAGAGAGAGAGAGAGAGAGAGAGAGAGAATCCCAAGCAGGTTCTACGCTGTCAGTGTGCAGCCCAATGCGGGGCTTGAACCCGTGAACCGTGAGATCGTGACTAAGCCAAACTCAGGAGTCAGACACTTAACTGACTGAGCCACCCAGGTGACCCCCTTCTTCTCAGTTTAGTTATAAACCTAAAACTGCTCTTTAAGAAAAGTCTAGGGGGCATCGGGGTGTCTCAGTCGGTTAAGCGTCTGACTTCAGCTCAGGTCACGATCTCACGGGTCATGGGTTCGAGCCCCGTGTCAGGCTCAGTGCTGACAGCTCAGAGCCTGGAGCCTGATTCTGATTCTATGTCTCCCTCTCTCTCTGCCCCTTCCCTGCTCGTGCTCTGTCTCCCTTTCTCTCAGAAATAAATAAACATTAAAAAAAATGCATATATATTAAAAAAAAAAAACAAAGAAGAGTCTTACAAGCTCCCCTCTACTTGCTAGATTGGGATGCGGCTTGATTCATGGATCACTTAATAAAGCCAATTAGACCTTCCAAAAAAAATTAAAAATAAGTAACAATGTTTAAAAGTCATTTAAAAAAAAAAAGTCTGCAAAAACAAATAAATAGATCAGCAAACCAGGAAACGAAGAGATGTCTCAATCTGATAAAGGGCATCCATGAAAAGCCTACAGTGGACATCCTCCTTAATGGTGAAAAATGGGATGTATTCTCCCAAGGATCTGGAACAGAGTGAGAATGTCTGCTGTCACTGCTCACATTCAAGGAGGCCAAGCCACTGCAAGAGGAGGAAACATGTGGAAGAGGAGGAGGAGGAAGAGGTGGAGGGATACACATTGGAAAGAAAGTAAATTGCCTTCATTTGCAGAGGATGGGATCGTCTACCTAGAAAACCATAAAGAATCCACACCAAAAGCTACTCGCTTAGCCAGGTCACAGGACACAAGATCAGGGTATGAAAGTCCACCATGTTTCTATATACTAGCAATGAGCAATTGGAAATAGGAATATAGAAGTATTCATATATAATACAAATAAATACATTTATTTAGAATAGAACCAAAAGCATGAAATATTTGGTAAGAAAGTTTTTTAAATATGTAGTTTTCTGTTTGCTGAAAACTATACGAAGCTAAGTGAAATCAAAGAAGACCTAAATAAATGTATATGTCGTGTTCCTGGATCAGAAGACTCAATTTTAGGGGCACCTGGGTGGCTCCGTCGGTTAAGCGTCTGACTTTGGCTCAGGTCATGGTCTCGCGTCAGCCGTGCTGACAGTTCAGAGCCTGGAGCCTGCTTCCAATTCCGTGTCTCCCTCTCCCTCTGCTCCTCCCCCGCTCACATTCTGTCTCTGTCTCTCTCTCTGTCTCAAAAATAAACATTAAAAAAAAAAAGAAGACTTGGGGCGCCTGGGTGGCGCAGTCGGTTAAGCGTCCGACTTCAGCCAGGTCATGATCTCGCGGTCCGTGAGCTCGAGCCCCGCATCAGGCTCTGGGCTGATGGCTCAGAGCCTGGAGCCTGTTTCCGATTCTGTGTCTCCCTCTCTCTCTGCCCCTCCCCCGTTCATGCTCTGTCTCTCTCTGTCCCAAAAATAAATAAACGTTGAAAAAAAAAAAAAAAGAAGACTCAATCTTATTAATATGTCAATTCTCCTAAAACTGATCTATAGATTCTAAGTGATACAAATTCAAATCTCAACAGGCTCTTTTGTAGAAATCGACCAAAAATGTGTCTGGAGCTTCAAAGAAAAAAAATTAAAAGAGTCTAACAATTTTGAAAAATAAGAACAAAGTTGGAGAAATCACATAATTTGATTTTAAAATTTAATATAAAGCCACAGTAGTCAGGACAGTGTGTTATTGGTGCAAGAAAAACCATTTAGATCAATGGAACAAAATGGAGAATCCAGAAACAGAACCCTCCACGTAGGGTCCACTGATGTTTCACTGAGATGAAAAGGTCATTGGTGGAGACAGATACATTTTTTCAACAAATGGTGTGAGAACGATTGGATATCCCTACACACACAAAAATAAAAGAACACCAGCCCATACCTCACATCATATACAAAAATTATATATCATGTCAAAATATATCATAGACCTAAATGTAAAACCTAAAACAATAAAACTCTAAGAAAACATAAGAGAAAATCTTTCCGATGTGGGAATTGGGCAAAGGTTTTTTTTTTAATTTCTTCTCTACATAAGGCACAAAAAGTAGTAATCAAAACAGGAAAAAATCGAACTTCATCAAAATTAAGAAAACTGCTCTTTGAAGGACATTCAAGAAAACGGAAATGAAAAAAAAAAACAAATCATAGACTGAAAAACTATTTTCAAAACACACATATTATGGAAGACAACCCGTCCCCGAAGTATTTCGAAAGTCTCAGAATTCAACGCCACGAGCCAATTTTAAGATCCGGCAAAATATCTGAGCAGACACTTCAGGGAAGAAGAAATACGGATGGTAAATAAGTACATGAAAAGATGTTCAGTATCATCGGGGCGCCTGGTGGAGGGTCATGATCTCGCAGTTCGTGGGTTCAAGTCCCACGTCGGGCTCTGTGCTGACAGCTCCGAGCCTGGAGCATGCTTCGGATTCTGTGTCTCCCTCTTTCTCTCTGCCCCTCCCCTCTCGTGCTCTGTCTGTCTGTCTCTCAAGAATAAATAAATATTAACAAAAAAAAAAAAGATGCTCAGTATCATTAGTCATTATGGAAATACAAATTAAAACCACGAGGGGACATCACCACACACCTGGGGGGACAGCTAAAGTTAAATATATATATATATATATATATAGAGAGAGAGAGAGAGAGAGAGAGACAATATTATCACTGTGGACGACAGTGTGACAGTGTCTCAAAAAGTTACACATACTCCTACCGGATGATCCAGTCATTCCCCCATCGAGGTATTTATCCAAAAGAAAGGAAAGCATGGCCATAGAAGGAGTGGTACATGGATGCTCCCAGAAGCTGTATTTGTCATAAGTCCAAACTGGAGACAACCCAAACGTCCGCCAGCGCGTGAGTAGATAAACAACGGTGGTTGCATCCTACCGAGGCCTCAGCAGGCGAAAGGAATGAACTCCTGACACGTTCAACAACCCGGATGAATCTTAGAAGCGTCAGGTGGAGAGAAAGAAGTCAAACAGGAAGAGCTCCTGTATGATCTCACGGATATGCCGTTTAGAGAAAGTAGAACTCTAAGGGCAGAAATCCAACCTGAGGTTGCCAGGGGCTGGGGGAGGGGAGGTGTGACTGGCTTCAGAGGGGACCCGGTCCACTTTGGGGATGACACAAATACTCTGTCCCGATTGGGATGATGTTTGCACGACTGGACGTAATTGGCAAATCTCCCAAAACCGCACGCCCCAATTTTAGGATAGGTCCTTTACATTCCCAATAAACCTGACCTAAAAGACGCATTCTTCCAGGACACCTGCGTGGCTCCGTCGGTTACGCGTCCGACTTGGACCCAGGTCACGATCTCACGGTTCGTGGGTTCGAGCCCGGCGTCGGGCTCTGTGCTGACAGCTCGGAGCCCGGAGCCTGCTTCGGATTCTCTGGTCTCCCTCTCTCTCTGCCCCTCCCCCACTCACGCTCTGTCCCTCTCGCTCTCTCTCGAAAATAAACATTAAAAAAAAAAAAAGATGCATTCTTCTTATTACCGTATTCAGAGAATGTTTCCTTTTACTTTTTCCTTCTAAAAGTTTATCCTTAAAAGAGAGAAAGGAAACACTTTTATGCTAATTTCTTCTGATTAATACATGACTAAGTACCATATTTTTGTATGGAAAGAGCTATAAATAAAGATCTATAACGCACTTGCACGGTACATTTCGTGCATTGCACCTGACGAGGAACTTTGAGAGTCATTGCTTCTATAATAGTCCCTGGCACAGGATGGCGATGAGGAAGGTCGGCAGGGCTGGTGGTATCATGGCTTCCATTTTATAAAGGCAAAGATGGGAGTTAGAGTCTATGCTGAAGGTCACACAGCAGGTCGGTGGCAAGCCCTGAACTTGAATCCCTGTCTTTTTTTTTTTACCACGGAGAAAATGGTAAATTTTCCTTAATCTTCTCCCAGGAGGCAACAAAGTGGGGGGGTGGGGGGAGGGCGTGAGGTGGGCGTTACGTACGTAATTGCAAAGCCCAGCGGAGGGGAAAATTGATAAGCAGGAAGGAAACTTGTTTATAGACGTGGGGTTTATTTTGAGTGCTTTCCATAAACTAGCTCAGGAGATGTGAAAACGCCACCCACATCAGCCCCTGGAGCCTGCGAGGCGGCACAGGCCCAGGTGTGACAGGAGCCGGGGCCCACAGATGCTGCGTTTCCGCAGCTTCTTGGCTCTGACGGGTGGTGAGGTGGAGAGGGTAACCTGGACCCAAATTCCGCTGCACCCCGTGTTTGTCGTGTCCCCCTCTGCCCCGTGCAGGCCTGAAAGCCTCCTGTGGTACAGTCCTGGAAAAGCTGGCTCCTGTGGGCCTTCCCTGTCCCCACCCCCAGGCCTCAAGGAGGAACCCAGAACTGCCCTTTCTGCCCCAGGAGGCCTCCTCTGTGGTCACCTCAGTCCCCAGGTGACCCGCTCTCACCACCAGCTCGGCCCGGCCGCACCTTCCTTCGGGACTTCCAGCTTCCAGAACAACAAGAGAATAAGTTTCTGTTGTTTTCACCACCCCCCTGGACTGTGGGACTTGGTGACGGCGGGCCTGGGAAGCTCATACACAAAATTTTAAATAGTCTTTACTTCCCAGAGATTTTATGAAGCTGACCTGCAAGAATTTCCAAGGAGGAGGAAGCAAACCCACTTTCCCAGCTTATTTTACCACAGAACTTTTTTCCTCAACAAAACAAAACAAAACATTAGCGTTCCGGGAAAAGGCTCTTTGGGAAAGGGGGATCTTCAGGACTTATCTGTGGTACCTCAGGGAGATGACCCACAATAAGGGGGCCGAGGGGGGTCCATACAGCCTTGGTGCCCCTCCAGGGAGGGTGCTCTGTCCCACAGGCCCACCGCCAGGTCCCACGGAGAACCTCGTTCCTGCTCAGTGAAAGAACAAAGGAATGAATGATGTCAGCAGTGACGTCAGAGGACAGATGACTGAACCTCCCTCCACCTTCGGGTTTCGCTGTCAAAGGGAGGCACCGCAGGACATGCCCTTGCCCCCGGGGCCCTCACGCCACGCACACCCAGGGCTTTAGTTACACCACGCGAAAACGTCCGTGCTTTCTCCCCTCTGGGCCTTCACTCCTGCTGTCTAGAATGATCCCCGCTCCCACCCTCGGCCTCCTTGGCGGCTTACCGCTCATTCTGTAAGGCCTCATGAATGGTCCTAATAGAGTCCTGTGGCCTGGTGTCCAGCCAGGGTGGCCTTGCTGCCGTGGGACCAGCGACAGGTAAATTCTACTCCATGACATTCAGGGAACCAGGTTCCCCCCCCCCCCCCCCTCCCTCTCTCCCTCTCTTTCCTTTTTTTTTTTTTTTTGCTGTGGCATAACTTGTGTCAAATACGGTTCGGAAATATTCAGAGGGTAGCTCAATCAATTCTTACATATGTACACACCTGTGAAACTACCCCTCAGATGGAGGTACAGAACATTCCCAGCACTCAAGGCCTTCCTAGCTCATCGTTTTGTCCTCCCCTAGGCTGTTAGCTTTGGGCCATGGTCAAAATTTCCTCATATTGTCACTCCACATTCCAGCCCACAGGAAACAGAGATGGGGCTGGGTGGCGTGGAGGCACACAATTTCCTAATTAAAAAAAAAAAAATGTAGGGGCGCCTGGGTGGCTCAGTTGGTTGAGCGTCCGACTTCGGCTCAGGTCATGATCTCACGGTTCGTGAGTTCGAGCCCCGCGTCGGGTTCTGTGCTGACAGACGGGAGCCTGCTTCGGATTCTGTGTCTCCCTCTCTCTTTGTCGCTCCCCCGCTTTCTCTCTCTCTCTCTCTGTCTCTCTTTCAAAAATAAAGAAAGATTAAAAAACTTAAAAAAAAAATGTGATCTGGAAATGCACACGTCACTTCTGTCTACACTCCATTGGCTAACTCTTGGTCCTATTGTCATATGGGCTGCAAGAGTACCTGGGGGAAAAAAAATCCCTCTCCGGCGGCCACGTGTACCAAAACACTCATGAGGTTCCATGACTAAGGGAAGAAGGGGGGCCCAGGGTGTCAGGGAAGCAGGATGAACGGCCAGACAGCCGTGGCCTGCTGGAGCCTGTTCACGGAGGGGACTCATGGAGCAGTAGCAGGGGACATCAGAATCTGGGAGAGGAACGGACCCTGTCCTCGGGCTATGGCTTTTTAGCTGCATGATTAGTGGGGCACAGGCTCCTCCCCTAGCCTGATAGAAGCTAGGATCCAACGTGAGCCCTGGTGTGGTTCTGGTTCCAAGTCAGCCCTGCTATGTCAGCCTCCGTGCTTGGAAGGGCACCAGCCCCTCCTATGTCATTATCAGGGGCTGGAACTGAAGTCCTACCGTTATGGCTTCGGGCCACCCGACGACTCTACCAGAATGGATTGCTTTAAGCTCTTGGCTTTACCTTGTCTCCAGGGGGTTTTGCAAGAGACTAACTTAGAGCGAATTGGTCTGGGACAAATTCACCCTTACGTGTGAAAGGCACGACCGGCGGTGAGGGTCACAGTGGGCTCACACTCCAGCAGGGACGTCAAACTGCGAAAGCAAATTCAGTGTGCTAGAAGTTCCAACAGAAGTCCGAGGGGAGTGCTCTGTATGGAAGGCCACCGGTGCACAGAGAAAACACTTCATTGAGTCATTGGGAAAGCAGGAGCTCAGGGAAAGAGGGGAAAGGACACAGATGACAGAGGAAGGGCATGGACAAGGCACCCAGGGGCGTGACAGTAGGAGCAGTGAACCTCCTAACAAACAAATGTGGGGCCCCTGGGCTGCTCAGTCGGTTACACGTCCAGCTTCGGCCCAAGTCACGTCCTCACGGTTTGTGGGTTCGAGCCCCGCACGGGGCTTTCTGCTGTCACCGCGGAGCCCGCTTGGAATCCTCTGTCTCCTCTCTCTGCCCCTCCTCTGCGCGTGCTCTCTCTCAAATAAATAACCATCTAAAAAATCTTATAAAAAAACCCAAAACAAACAGATGTGAAATATACATAGGGGAAGAAGTACGATAAAAAGAAACGTATAGCAATAAAGGTTTATAGTGAGCGTTTAACTAAACTGGCTCTAACTTTCCTGGAAGTCAAAGCATAAAGGGAACCCACCAGATGATATAACTTCCACTGCCTGATACAAATAAGTACTCAGGCGTGTCAAGAGTGATATCTTCCATGTGTCCCCTCACATATACTTGGTTTTAAAATTAAAAGGAATTCAAAATTATCAGCCAAAGAGGGGAAATAGGTCTACTATAATGTCTTGAGAAGTCTTAGCAATCTCTGTTAGAGTAAGGGTAGCAATAAATAACATAGATCTAAACAGAATCCGGCATAAAACCACATTGCAGATAATTAGGCACCTAGCCACGCCTTATGTTAGCTAGCATATATATTAGGCTAAGCTGCTATGTCAGAGGCCCCCAAATACAGTGCCTTAAAATGGAAATGTGTTTTTCTTTCACATAACAGTCTGAATGTGGGCAGTAGGCCAATGTTGGCAGGTGTCTCTGCTCAGTGAGGTCATTTAGGGATCCAAGTTTCTTCCCTCTCGTCGCTTGGCCATCCCTACGCCTTTGATGAGGGAGCATAAGGCAAGCTGAGGGCCAAGCACGAGTTAACAACACCCCCCACCCCGGGTGGGATCCGTGTGACAGTCTCCGGCACTCCCGGCTGCCCCAGGGCAAAGGAAAGGAAAGGAAACAAATGGTTAACTGACAGAGATCACAGTCCCGCAGGACAGGAGTCTCCATCAAGGAAAAGGCGATCTTACCAACAGAAACCTATAGCCTCCGTTTCCTGGAGCCCCAACATCACCCTCCCCTCCATGGTGATGTGGGGAACAAAGGCAAGAAGGTGAAATTACATTTCCTTATGACCTGCAGCCCATTGACACATCCTTGAGGCAAATACAGAGTAGAACCTTTCTCTGGGAACCCCATACTGTCACGATGTTAATGCCTCATTAGAGGGAAAACAACCTTAGCTTGATAGCAAGGCCTCCGGTATCTTGGAGTCCTCGTTAGCACATCACAGTCCTTCTGGAAGCCTCCCTTGCGCCTTTACCTCTCCCAACACCCTAGTATGTAACTAATCACTCTTCACAAACCCAGCGCAGCTCTTCCCGCCCACGGGTCCTGTCCCTGTGCTTTAATCAAATCACCTTTTTTGGGCCAAAGGCATCTCAAGAATTCCTTCTTTAAAAAAAAAAAACAAACAAAAACACATGTATTTATTTTTGAGACAGAGAGAGACAGAGCATGAACGAGGGAGGGTCAGAGAGAGAGGGAGACACAGACTCCGAAGCAGGCTCCAGGCTCTGAGCCGTCAGCACAGAGCCCGACGCGGGGCTTGAACTCACGGACCGTGAGATCATGACCTGAGCCAAAGTCGGATGCCTGACCGACTGAGCCACCCAGGCGCCCCTTGGGTGATGTTTAAACCCAGTCAGGCCGCCTCGAACCACCTAAGAGTTTTGCAGACCGTGAGGCCCTCAACACCAGCAAGAGGGCAGGAGCCTGCCCGCGTCACCCAGCAGGTCCCTGGCCCAGCTGGGAGGGCAAGAGGGGAGCAGGAGAGAATGAAACCCAGGGCACCGCACCTGCAGTCATTTGTGTGCGTTGTCAACCGCTGGGGCTCCCGCTTCCCCGGAATTTGTTTGTTGTGAACAGAATTCTCTTCTCAGCCCGGAGCGGGACCAGGAGTTTCTGGGGCGGCTCTGTGACTCATGGACACCCGGAGGGGCAGCCCAGAGGACACCAAAACAGGAGATGGCCGGGAGGGAGTGCATAGCTGGAAGCTGAGCTGGCATTTGATGAGGTGCCCGGGACTTAGGGCAGGAACAGCAGTGCTCTCTCGCCCGAGCACCCCTCCCGGAAGGGATGACTCCGCGGGACCCGAGGGCGCCCCTCCCGAGGACGTCTTCTGTGCAGCAGCAGGAGTGGGAGGCCCATCGGGTGACCATGGACCCAAGACCACAGACGGGAGCTTTCACAATCTGGTTAATGTTTGCCTTCTCCCCTGAGACTCCACGTTCCCCGAGAGGGGGATCGTGCCGGTCTTTCCCACTGTGCTATCCCTAGTGCCTGGCACATAGTAGGTGCTCAGTGAATCTCTGTTGACTGATATCGTCCCAACTCAGCCCCACCTGGAGCCACAGTACAGGAATGTTTATCATTGCCACCCGCCAGGAACTGAAGGAGGTGTCTCCCCCTACGATATCTTGGTTCATTTCAATAACCTTGAGAGTTCGGTGTGATTATCCTCACTGGGAACAGACAGAGCCCCTCCTGGACGATGTGCTCTCCTCTCAGGACGACAGACTTCCAAAGCAGAGGGGCAGAAGCAGACCCTAGAGACAGCTCAACCGCTTGATCATTCAAAGAGCAAGATGCCGAGGCTGGTGTCTCACGAGAGGGCAGAAAGGGGAGGAGTGGCCAGTCACTGAGGACGGCAAGGAGCCAGCTGGTGTTCTCGGTGCTTCCCAATCGTCCCCTTTGATGAGGGAAACAAAGGCAAGAAAAATGTAGTTTAAATTAAATTCCCTTACAGCCTGCAGCCCATTGAGAGATGTCAGAGACCCGCAGCGTGGAACGTTCCCCAAGACGTTTATGGCCGCCCTGACGCCTTTGTGTTTACGCTTCCTTAAAAACTAAGAGCAACCTTATCTTGACAATTGCTAAATCTTCAGGGTCCTGTGAGCCCCTGCTTTCAGCATACAGAGATTCCTTAAAAACTGACTTTACCTAGGGGCGTCTGGGTGGCTCAGTCAATTAAGTGTCTGACTTCAGCTCAGGTCATGATCTCGCGGTTCGTGGGTTCGAGCCCCGCGTCGGGCTCTGTGCTGACAGCTTGGAGCCTGGAGCCTGCTTTGGATTCTGTGTCTCCCTCTCTCTCAGCAACCACCCCCCACCCTGCTCGGACTCTGTCTGTCTGTCTCTCAAAAAAAAAAAATTAGAAAAAATGAAATAAAAAACTTTATCTCTAGCCCCACCCCTCACCAACCTACAAGTATATAATCAGTTGCCCTTCACAACCCCAGTACAGCTCATTCTGCCCACGGGTCCTGTCCCTGTGCTTTAATAAAATCGCCTCTTTGCGCCAAAGGCATCTCAAGAATTCTTAGCCGTTTGCTCACGAACCCCACTTCACATTTCAGCACCCTTGACTGATCCTTGCACGAACCTTGCGCGCTGTGACCCCCTTACCCCATCTCCCAGGAGAGAAATAGGCTGACAGGGGTGAGTACTTGCCCAAGTCCCTCAGCTACGGGCACAGGGCAGGGCTTGGGCCCACGTAAGTCCCATGGCAAGGCCCCGGCAGCTTCCACTTCTGCCCGCTCGACACTTGAGTTTTGCCGGCCTGAGTTGTGTCCCCTGAAACTCAAGCGTCAAGGCTCTCCCCCGCATGACGGTATTGGAGTCGGGGCCGCCAAGGAGGTGGTGAAGGTTAAGTGAGGTCATGAGGGTAGAGCTCTGACCTTGTAGGTGGCCTTGTAGGAAGAGTACGGAGAGGCCAGACCGTGTGACAAAACAGCAAGATGGCCGGATGCAACCCAGGGGCCCTCAACCAACAACCGGCTGTGGTGGCCTCCTGGTCTCAGACTCCCTACCTCCAAATGCATCTCCATTGTTGAAGCTACTGTGTCTATGATATTTTGTTACGCACCATCCCCCCCCTCCGCAGACTGAAACAAGTTTTCCAACATCAAAACCAGTGACACAAGGGAGACACACTCTTAAGGACTCCTTTCCCCGTCCTTCAGTATTGGCGGGGGAGGGGTGGGAATTGGTTGACCATCGCCCCAGGCCATCATAGAGTTTATAGGGGAACTGAGAATTGCCTGAGGGCCAGGGCCTGCTGGCCTAACTACCTCATAAAGAATTCCCCGGGGCACAAAGGCTTCACAGAAGCTTCCAGAATCCCCTTGAGCAATTCTTCCCAGTCTGAAGATCCCTTCTTAGGAATGGGACCTCATGACGCCTCCCTGGAGTATAATTGCCTGATCCCCCCGGAGGGTGCCTGTTCAGCCAAGAATCCCTCACATCTCCCCACTTAACACAGAGCATCTACACCATGTGATCTGAGCCGGATCTCCGAAGGACTTGTCATCTCCCCAATTTCCTGCAAAGGAAACTGGGGATCACGGGGGCCCCCGACTTGCTGAGTAACAGCAGTTCTTGCATCCCAGCCTCTGTCTTCTGATATGAAGACCAGGGTCCCGGGGTCAATGCCACAGCCACCCTTTGCTGAATATTCTCATTCAAACACAGTGCAAAGAAGTACGTTTGAATAAAGTTTATTAAGTGAATCACTTTATGGGCAAACAATTAAATGCAACATGACAACTACGTAATTAGAGCTCTTTGAATACCTTGCCAGCCAGAGAGAAATAACCCGAAAAGGAGGGAGGAAGAGGGGCAGAGGAGGAGGGAAAGGGAGAAGACATTTTCCCTGTCTCTTGTGGACCTAGGCTCCTAGACTCCATCACCTGTTTCCCTGGGTCTAGCTGTCACGGACGGAGGCCATGGGCCAGGCCCTGGTGAGGGCCGAGTCTCAGGCATGGCTCGTGCAAGCCCCCTGGAGGGCCGCTGCACTCTGTCACCTCTCCACTAAACGGTGCCCAGCAAAGCAGCCCCTGGAAATAGAAGGCATGGTGATGTCAGGCTCTGTCACCTCAAACTTGTGACATGGCTTCAGGGTCCTCCAATGCTTTGATCACCCCCTTCTTGAAACATGCCAGGTTTGCTGGTAAATTCCAAGTTTGAGCATTTTGGGGATGCTTCATCCCTTACAAAGTGCTTCCACAATCCTCGTCTCATTTGTGCCTCACTATACCCTTCAGAGGAAGCTACTGTAACCGGCTCAGTTG